TAGTTCTCTCAGTGTTATTGGTGCGCGACCCCTGGAAACGTAAAACGTGTCGAATCTCATTCACTTATCTTTTATTGCAGTTCAATTTAATAGCATAAAATAAACCGCTTCTTTTACCTTTGCTTTTTAATAATATTTCTGTTTGAGCACGTGATAAAACAACGGATACTCGAATAGGTAATATTTATATACTGTATTATAATAATAATTATTGTATTAAGCGTTATAGACTTTGGTATTGCTATTACATTACCTAACAGTAGCAACGCAACATTTAATAACGTGTTTACTAATGGCGAATGTTATAATGATTTTGAAGCAATGGAAAATATTACCTTAAGGTGTAATAATGTAATATATAAATTCACAAATTTGTTATTGTTATACATTTAGTTACAGATATCATAAAAAAAAAATGTTGAAAATAACCATAGCTTTAACTAAGTACTTCAAAGGATTTTAAAATACTTAGCAATATGTATACATTCTCTTGTCTTTGAATTAAACACAGAAAAAGTGAAAACATAAATAATAATAAGATTGAAATTTAAATACGCAATATTAAAGTAAACCGGTTAACAAAATTAACTTGATCGTTTAAAAATAACAATTCACTTTTCGTTTTCAATCGGATCATTATACGAGCCTAATGTCCATTTATAATTTACTATACCGCGTATGAGAATTTCCGTCGAATAGTTCACTTATCCAAATAGTTCATATCTAAACTATTTAAGTATTTTGAAACAAAAACGAATTTTTTTCAAAATTGCTCTTACGTTATTTGACTTAATTTAACTATTTAACGGCGACAATCGTTATTATGGCATTTTTTACATTGCCAATAATCAGACTGAATTTTGATTATGGATAGCAAATATTTTAAAGAATTCATGTCAACATTTCCACAGATCAAAATCATTAAAAATACGCATTATATTATAATCAGCTTTAGTCGTATAATAAAAAAATTTACCGAAATTAACAAGTTGGTAAATATTTAAATACTGACTAATCAGGAATATTCAGAATAGCATTTATCTACTGTACACCTCTACTAGAGCACCGGCTGCTGTTTTATGGTATTAGATATTGGTGATATCACCCGAACAGAAATTAGAATAGATGCAGTACTGCACCAGTACTGACAGTTCAGACGCAGTAGCGGCTCCGAGACTGAACCAATATTGGCATATGTCTGGGATGATATCGTTTTGCCGTACTGGTAGATCAGTACTGGACGTTTTGCAAAACTAGTTTTACGTTAGTAATCTGCCAGCAATGGCAACCGAGTACTGGATCAGTACATAGACAAGATGTCAGCCAGTACTACGGTAATAGTATACAAACAGTTTAATTATTTTTAAACAAAGAAATTTCTTTTACCACATATAATGTTGTATACCTTATGGGTGACATAATTTTGTTTAAACTAAACTGAATTTTTAATGTAATTTATTTTCAATAAATACTAATAATATTAATACCAGTACATTAGTCAAACAAATATTTTACCTAATATCACTAGTAAAAATTACCGTTAATAATGTTATAAAGAAAATAATACTTTAAAGAAAGTCAAAAAATGAATGTCTAATAAAATTACATTTTTATTTAGAAAAAAATTCAATACTATAGAAACAAATAAAATTATAAAAAAAATTGTTATCATAACCCCCAAAGTAATCTTCAAAAACTTAATTTATACATTTAATAAATACACTTTTCATCTAGCCCTTTTTGATAAATGAATTTGTTTAGTAATAATCATTTTATTATTTTTAAATGCATACTATTTTTGAGAATATTGCATCGTTTTTTTGTATTCGTAATTCATTTCAATTCCAAAAAAACATTACTGGTTACATACATACAACGCTATCTATGTAAGAAAAAAATCGAAACTTAAGAACAGTGTGTTATTTAACTAAAAAAGTGGTTTAAAAGTCGTATTATTTTGAAAATAAACAAAATTATTTATAAAAATAATTTTATATTTATTTACAACTATTGTACATCAAAAAAATATAATTGTTCGTTAATGTGGAGTTATAACGTTAGACTACAAAATAATCCAACAAGTCGTTCACTTCTGTGACGTGTCAAATTTATGACTTTAGAAGCTAATATAAATATAATATTGTTTCAAAAATTAGAAATAAGCTCGTGTGAAATTATTACAAATTCAAATTATCAAATTTCTAAACATGTGAAATTGAAACTTAATAGTAACATTTGTTAATACTTAAAACGAAAACCACAACCGCGAATTCATAATTAAACGATATTTTATATGGTTTACATTCGGCATTTTTATTGTTCACTTCAATAACGTTTAAAGATTTCAATATTATCATTTCAATATACAAATGTACGAACTATGTAAATTTTTTAAATTAGGTATTTCTGTTAATAAACAATATATTTCATATAGTTTCCTAGAATTAAAACATTTCTCTATTTAAGATCGTTATAATTTATAATTATTTATTATATTAAACAAAAATGAATAATTTTAATTGTACATCCTACATTTTAAATAACAATAAGCTCATAATAACAACACGATATAATAGTATTCCGTAAAATCAAAAAAATATATTAATGAAGTTAAAATGATTTAATCTTAATTTAATTTAAATTTAATTCTTTAATAAGTACACAATTTTAGTTCAATTGTATTAAACTAATGTTTAATAATTACATCAAATAATATAAATTATAATTTAATGCTAAACAAAACTTCTAAACAATGGAAGTTATTACCTGTAATAATGCATAATTGCTTGCTATGGATTTTAACTTTTTCAAAATTAAACATAATCGTTATCTGTGAACAACGCTAATAAGAACAATTAATAACACCTTTCTATTGGAATTTTTCACTTTCATATAAATAAATCTATACATTTTAAATGTTCATAATTAAATTATACCTGTTTAAAGAAGTAATTAATGCATTAAGGCAACCATTTATTGAAAAAAAATCATTATTTTATGGAACTAAAACTTCCAGTTTTCAATAAATTCAAACTATTTAATTTGTTCATTTCGCATCCAATTTTTATCCATTTTATTTATTAATTAAAAACAAAACGATGACGTAAATTGTTGGTATACACCATCATAATGGTACAGTTTTAACATTTCAAATTCACTAAACGAGATAACCTGAACCGCCGTTTCATATAAAATGAAAATATTATTTGTCATATGAGAAAATCAAATTCATTATATAATATGTAATTTATTTATTTCCGTTATCAATCATAGTAAATTGCTGTCGTGTATCGCTTACGTTTATTGTTGCAATGTTAAGTAATAAATTATCTTTTAAGTTGAACTACATATGCATAGCTCTATCTATCATCGTACATTTCTAATATCGAGGGTAGCGACATCTGGGAGATACTTTTGGAACAATATATTATGTGACGATTGTTGCGCTATCTAGTTACAGTTAGTGATTTCAAAAGTCTTGTTTTAAGTTACCGCTAGATGGTGTAAGTGATGTCGATATAACGATATAATACTTGATCCTAGGCATTATAGTTACACTTTACTTAATGAAAGGCGTGGTCCGAAGCATCCACGAGCCAATGAGGACGGCGCGCGCGCACCACCGTTTTGGTGGCTGACTACTGACCGAGAGTCGCGTGCCCATCTGAGTCGACCACTTTCATCGCGCGCTCTCGTCTGTCCACATCGAGTGAACACCTACGGATTCGGTCTCTTAAGACTTGCAAAAAATAATAATAAAGTACTTATTACCAACTATTATTATTTACAGTGTTCGTTGTTTAGACAGTTATGGCATTTACATGAAACTTTTTTTTTTTGAATTCGTTCGCCAAGTGATGATCCTAAGTCGATACCGCATAAATTAAATAAAGAGAGTCGCGAATTCGCTCATTCATTTTCAGTGTCAACCTCAAGGTCAGTATGTAATGAAAATATTACACTGCTTTGTATTAACAAAAAATTATTGATATAATTTCTTATGAATTGGGGTAAATTTAAAATATTAAAAGCATTGTCTGTGGTGAAAGGTTAATTTCTGGGATTGTTTTATAAAAATCTTTTGATTGTAATGATAAAATAGTAGTTGAAAGATTGAATTGATAAGAACTGATTATTTTAATTCATACTATTTTTCTTAAACATTTTAAACTAAATTTCTCAGCTCACAATAAGTAGTTATCTCAAGTTATATAGGTTAAAAAATATATGTTTCTATACTATTAAACTGGAAATGTAACTTTGGCTCTCTGACTTTAAAATAAATATTTTTAAAATGATTTTTTTGTATTGTAATATTATTCAGTTTGTTATTTTTATTTAAAAATAAGAACTCTCTTACTTAACCAGATAAAAGATCACTTGCAAAAAAAAAAATAAAATCTTACACAAATTATTTGTTTGAGTATAAACGATTTTTCATAATTATCCAATTTTATTTTTTAGTACATTACAATCATTATTCGCTATTACTTTAAAAAATGTACATACACTTTTAGCATATGACATAGTCGTTATTAAGATAATTTATTCTAAAAATTAATGATAAGAATGATTTATTAGTAGTAGTATATGAATTATGAATACTATGAATTCATAGTAGATGAATTATTATATGACATATAATTAAATTTCATTATTGACCATCTTTAAAAATATTTTAATTCCTAGCTTAAAACAACAGCTATTAGGAGTTTTAATGATGAATTAATTTAATTATTATAATCTAATTACGTGATTCAATTTCTATATTGATCTTAATAATATTAATTTTTATTTATATTTAAATTTTAATGAAAACCTGTAATTTTTTAGAATACTTAAACAGTTCTTAAACAATAAATAACTGTTTTTTTTTTTATCAAACATTTTTATTAGTTTATTACTATTTTTTTTTTAACGTAAAAATTCACCATAAAAGTTATTATATATTTTTTAGTAATTGTTTAAATATTTATTACCATCACCATGGTTGTATTTTAACCTTTTTTATTTCAAAACTGTCGTTTCCAACAGCTTAAAATAGTGTACTTATATTTTAAAACTTGAAAATAAGCTCTAATATATCTATGAAAAATAACCAACATTTAGCTCGCCACTTGATAAATATTATTTTATTTAAATCTTTATGAACATGATTAAGTAAAAAGAAATATGACTTCTCATTAAATTGCGTACTAACCATTAACATTGAAAATTAAGGAATCCATAAACTTAATCTTAGAAGGCGTTTGCTGTTACACAACTAACGCACATATTGACTAATATTTTCCAGACGGGCTCGCATTAAAAATCTTATATCCTTACCCTAAATCTCATTGTGATTTTTTATTTTTAAAAGTAGTTTGTTTTTTATTAAATTTTTTGTATTTTGATCATATCTTCGATCGATAGTTTTACAGTTAACATCAAATGGCGACGGGGTGGACTTGTTTCGTTTGGGGTGAATTGCTATTGGATTACCCCTAACATTAGGGTTTTTTGTTGACAAATCCGGCGAAATCGATTGTTATTCTGCGACCACCGTCTAAATCTACCCTCAGAGTAAAAAAAAAATGGGGTGTGCTATGTAGACTTGTTTAGTTTGATCCCCATGCGTGTTACGTGTAGAACAGATAATCTATAAAATATACTGTTGTGTGTGGCGACTAAAACGTTGTGTCTTAAAGATTACCAAACGGTCAAAAAACATAGACTAAACTCATTTTATGAGCTATTTTTCTCAATTTAGATTGGTGTTTCCATAAGGTTGACGTAGGAGTGAAATTAATCCGTTCCATTTTCCTTATTTATTAAAACTCTTACAAAATTAAGTCACTATTATGTGGATTATTTTTTTTTTTTATTTAAAAGAATTTTTCATTTAAAATATTCATATATTACTTCTATTGTTACGATCACGAGCAAGTGTATTTTTGTTTTACTAAGAATTATTATAGAGAAATGGTCCACCAGGTGGCGGTAACAATATTGTATAACCTAAGACATATTTTATTTCAACTTGGTTATACACTTGCTCAGTGGCGCCAATTGATATATTATAATTGAGAAGTATATAGAAAAAAATTTTTATCTCATGTCCGTAATTTAGCGAAAAAAATACCTAAATAATAAGTAAAATCAAAAGGAAGACATAAAAAATTTAGAAATTTGACGTCGGCACCACTGCACTCACTAGTTACACTTGAAAATCAAATTTTATCAAACTTATTGACAATTATAATAAATTGTTATAACTAATCAAACAATTTCAGTATTATATGATTGTAGTTGTGGTGGTTTAATTGTTTACAAACATTCCTAAAAAAAAAAAAATACCAATTAAAATGTATATTATCTTATATATTGTATCGAATAAATTAATTTTACGCATTTGCTAATCTACTAATCAGATGACCGATTTTATTGTGTGATTTGACTTTTTGGCGGCAAACGTGGCCAACGCGGACTTTGCATTCGCGCTGGCCACGACGACATTTATCGTGATTAGCGGTGAAAATGAAGAGGGAGTGGTCGAAGGTTCGATTTGAAAAATAGTAGCCAGTACGCAATACGACTGTAGGAACGTGTGTAGTCAGCATTAGGAGTTAGAGGTAGTGAGTTGTGCTACGTTGTCGTTAGCGGAGGTGGTGACGACGACGACGACGACGACTTAGACATTGCGGATGACGTGGTAGTCCAGCAGGTGAAGGGAAAAGAAGCTCACGCGCGCGCGCTAGCGTTAGCCCCACCAGTGTGACTCTATCGGTGTACCGGTAGTGGTGAATGGTGATGAGTGTGGACAAGTGGCGCGGCCCGACGGATGCCGAATCGAGCCGACTGAACGCGGCGCGTCTACCGCCGGCGAACTCAACGTCCTTTTCCTCGTCGTCGCCTCTACGTACGGTCGTGTGTCCGTGCAACTATCTGCTACACTGCATTCTCACATCACAGCAGCTCACAGGTGTAGAGCCTCACTTGTTCCTTTCATACTCTGGTAATGTAACTTTTTTTTTTATATTTTAATTTTTGCGTTGTAATTGTGTACATTCTTTTTGATTTTATGTTTTCAAAGAATTACTAATAATCATTGCATATCGTTTAATAAACCAACCACATGGTTTCCGCGTTTTCATTGAGACGGCAACGATTTTTCTATTTTTAAAGATTTTGGATAGCTGACAAATATTTATTTTTAAATCGAACTGATTTTCTATCAATTGAAAATCTCAGTAAAATTCCGATATCCTTCATTAATTTGAATGTGTAGTTTTTTCTATTTCGGGTTTCATATTTCGAGAATCTTATCATAGCCTTCGATAAAATATTAAAAAAAAAAAAAAAAAAAAAAAAAAAAAAAAGCAAAAACGNAAAAAAAAAAAAAAAAAAAAAAGTAATCCGTCAAACGCGTAGTGTTGTTGAATATATGCGTTCCTCTTTAGAGAATAATCGCGGGAGAAAGCAATAAAAAATAATTCTCGTAATGTCTGTACATTTTCTCTCCCTTCAGTGGAATGTCATAAAATTAACAGTAACAATACTCGAGAAACGAGTACCTTATTCAAATACGGCCGGTAGTCGTGGCATGAGAGGAGATAAAAATCCAGATGGCCACCTCCTGCTGATGTAAGTGCATACGTTTACTAGAAACCGAAGAGAAAACAAACGAGAGACAAACCGCTCTCTACTCTGTAACGCGTGTGCCCGTTAGTTTGTTCGCGTTTAAATAGAATATATTTATATGTTTTTTTTTTTATATATATATATACATTGTTGTGCGTGCGAGATAGTGTATTTCTGTGTACATGTGCACCAGAAGAAGAAGAAATAACCGGCAATGACCACTAGCGAGGTATAGAGTTCCTACGTTCAAAAATATTTCATTATTCGTAGGAACTTCATACCGTGCTCTTGGACTTGCGACAATCTACGATGGACTGTTGGAGTATTTTAATGTAATTTTTTTTTTTTTTTTTTACAACGAAATACTGTTTTAAATTATGTGCCATCATGTTCATTTGTTGTTTGTCAAAATAATATTCACTGCGGTACGATGATTGTTTTTCAATATTTATACAGTGCACTATTACCGAAGATCGCCGTCGTGACCTTGTCGGTGTTCTCTGCGTGTGCGTATGTGTTTTTTATTCTCGAAAAACCTTTCCCATTGTCTTTGGGGTGTAAACCGGTTTTTTTTTAACGTTGGCACAGGGTTTAGTCACAATTTAAAACCGTCCCATCAATTTTTTTTTTTTTTTTTCAATACATTATATAAAAGACTTTTTTTTCTATTAAGTAAAAAGCGCACGTGCAGGTAAACGTCGTATGTTAACCCCATAAGGTGCGCACTTGTCTGTGATTTCCATTATCCGAGCACAAAAACATATTTTCTAATGTTCAAAACAACCATAGCTGTAAAAAAAGAGAAAGGAAAAATACACGACTAGAAGTGCCGCCGAATAGAGTAACGAGTGCGTTATGTCAGTTTTTTTTTAATAGATAAAAAAAAAATAGTTACAAATATCGGCGTTATGAGTGTTTATATTGGTTGAACAGATAACATTTTTTTTATTAATATTATCTCCCGTAGAGTATAATTCAAAGTGCTTGAAAGATTGTCGGTCGGTTATCATGAGGTCGCCCAATTATATAACACATAAGTTATCTGCTGCAACAGGAGGTCGTGTATTACCGCCCACTACTTAAAGTTTTTAAACGACTTAGATTTTACGATATTTTGGTGTAGAGCTAGCAAAATGCAACTACATTTTAAAAAATTAACGTGTGTATTTTNTTACATTTTAGAAAATAAACGTGTGTATTTTTACTATATTTAAATTATTTTACTTATCTTGATGATTGTAAAGTCATTTACAAGTGCAAGGGCCGTTAATTATTCGCTTTTGTGTTAATTACTATGAGTGGTTTTCACCAAAGAGGAAGTCTATTGTTTTTCTACTGTAAGAGGTCAACGTCGGTTGACATTTGACATGGCAGCTTTAGCTGACGTTTGACAAACAACACAGAAAAACCAGTGAAAAAACCGTTATATGTCTGTAATAGACAACTATTGTAACTGTGTGATAATATTGATTAACGTGTGCAACTGTATAGATGTCCGTTCAATTATAGTGGAAATAATAAATTATTTTAATATTTATTTATTTTTCTATGTTTATGATATGGCCACATTTATAGTAACTGCAAATGGCAACACTATTTCTTAGAATTTGGTCAATGTAGTTGGTTTAGACTTTTTTTTTTTTTTTAAAGAAGTGAAACAAATTCCTTTTTTATTCTTATGGTTACTTGTATCTTAAATTGTATTCTTTTTTAACGTTCGTATGAAAACTATAATTACAAAATTTACATTGTGATAATATTAGTAAGAAATCCAGAGGTATTTTTTACAGACACGAGTGTATGCAATAACATTTTTGTTTGTCAAACACATAATTTAACGGTACAAAAAAAAAATACGTCAACTAGTTTAAATTTCTAAGTTCCTTGTCTCATTAAAAAACCACACACAAACTTTTAGTTGTTATCGTCGGTGCATTTTGTTCAATGAAATTAATTAGTACAATACAATTGGTTTGTTACTAGTGCGGTTACTACATTCTGTAGTAACCTCAAAATTCTAAAATTAATTACCAGTTTTATATAAATTTACCTATCCTGATGAATTTAACATTGACAAATATAATAACAGTATATACGTCACTTCAGTGAACCAGTTTATATGTTTGTATTGACTAAATAAAATTTAAGTTTGATGTAAAGCCGACTGATAAACCCTGAAAGTCTTTTGTGAATTAACCAACCGCGGCTAACAACAGGTGGAAGAGCCCTTCAACAAGTGCTTGACATAAGATGTAATATTTATTTCAAAATTATTGAATAGATCCTGACTTTTACTTAAGTTTTTGTTTATTTGCAATACCGTTAGTATTTGTGTAACAGGTGTATCTATTGAGCGAGAACGGCTGCCGCGAAGCAACTAAAAAATTCTATGGCCCGACTATCCGTTGATTTATAAATAAACTGCTGCTACGATCGTCATACAAGCAGTACCTATGCTTTTTTTTTTTTAGCCTATTGCAAAAATGTTCTATACACTTGTTCTTATCTAAACAGTAATCGAAGTCATTCTACAATGTCTCTGAAAAGATATTCCCATAAACAACTATTTAATTATTATTGACAAGTTAAGACAAAAAATTATATTCAACGCCTAAATGAGCCAAAATTCGTTTGGTTATATCTTATTTCTATAATTGAAATATAGTAATTATATAAAATAGTGTGTCAGCTGTGTGAGTCGTTGTGTGAACGGTGCCTGGTCCGAGTTGTGATGGTGGGAGCGTCCGTCCCGCGCTTTTTCCTCTTGTGCCACAGTGGAGGCCGCCGCCGCCGTTGCTAGTCCGTTTGCCGGTCTCAGCACTCACATAAACCGAAAAACACTACACGCAGGCCGCAGCCAATTCCGTCATCGTAGGCATGCGGGCCTCGCCGCCGGCGTCCACACCACCGCGCCCATTGTCGGTGCAAATGTGTACGTATGTGAACGAATGGCTCACACACACACGCGCACATAATATTATACAACGAGTAATTTTGTCAGCGTCCCAACTCGTCGCTAAAGGCGGTAGCAACGGGTTATACACAATCCGTGGCCGCCGTTCGCAGAGTATGTGGGAATGATAAAAAAAAATATACGTGTATATGTTATGATGTTGTCTATGAAAAGGGTTTGCGGTCGTATGATGTTACTGGTATCGTTCGCGGTGTTGCACGTGTCCACGGGGAGCTGCTGCTGCTCCTAATGAACTCGATAATAATAATTCGCATAAAAAAAGATAATTGTTATTTTACACGAACGTAGAAGAAATTTAATTGATTTTTTTTGCTCAAAGAAAACATCTCGTATTTTACATTATGTCTACGATTATTCCGTGTATCATTATAGTTACTATTTTATTCATAAATGTTGAACGGTACCTCAAATATGTGATAAATTGTAGTAGATGTCGGGACATCACTTCAATTGGATTTTATCGTGTTTTTTTTTTATAAATTATTTACTTTTTCAACTATGGAGTAGTCTGTTCATTGCATTCGACGGAGATTGGTTAAACGTTTCTCTGCTGATATGAGGTAAAAAGAGAAATGAACGGCTTACTTTAATGAAATAAAAGCGGTGACGATAAAACAATGCTCGTGGGCCTACGCAAATACAAAAAATGAAAAAACAAATGTGGCTAACTTAACAGTTTCTTACTGCCATTACTCGACAAATTGAAATTTCATAAATAACATATGCGAGCAACACGTCTGATTTAAACAATTGGTGTCTTTTTCGGACCAAAAATCTAGCAGCTTTTCAAGTCAAGAAGCTCGCGGAGTTTCAATAATGCCAAAGTTCGCGTACAACAGTTATAAGATATGCATGTTATTTTCTTGAAAATTTATAGTTTATATTTAATATCAGAACGACTGAAAGTCTGTTGAAATATTAACATTCATTAGGCTTGGCATAAAAAATAAAACGCGTTTAACTCTATTTCAGTATGCGTTTCAATTAAAATTGTTTGTTTAATAACGTACACATATGAAACTTCTGGAATACGTAGCCTACTTAATAAACATTCTTAGTGACTACTAATTAGTAATTTTAATTGGGTACTGTCATGGTGGAGTCTGCATGTTGAAAAAACGGGAGACGTCGAGTCGTCATCGCTTAGAGTTAATTGACCCTGACAACCGCAATACAACTATGGTTGGGAAAACAACGTGTAGGAACCAGCTCGATCTTGATCACTTATGTGAACTCCACTTTCATGAACTATATTTCTCAGTCCATCAGCGATCCTAAAATGAATTTTTATTTGTAACACGATTTTTGGCGATACTAGGCTAGTTAACAAACTTGGTTGTGTCAATCATTAAATTTCTACATGTACCTGACTCAGCACTACCTCATGTAACTTGCCGCTATTCACTCAATCAGCAATAAGTGTTTGACATTCTCGGTAGTAATAATTATTATTAGTGTTGTTATTTGTTTAATTGCAATTACAGAGAAGTACTAAATCACTTTGCTAATAAAACAGTTGGTTAACTTTTACCGAGAAAATGTAAACAATTTACTGAATTTTACTCTTTGATTATATTACACGACGTTATCGTTTTATCAGTATTTTAAAACGATTAAAAAAATACGAGGGAATTACATTCATTGGAAACGAATAAACAATAGTACAAACGTTTATCGAAAGGGCACGTTCAGGACGAGCTTTAATAATCTCATGTCATTTCTCCAATGTAATCCCCCGTAAGTATGTAGTTCTACATATATCTGAGCTTATCATTAATTCTCGAGGTATTATATGACATAATCTTCGCTTAGTCGGTGTATTGATCAAGTGCATAAAACTCGTTTGAATTCGAAGCGGAGATTTTTCTCTCGGATCAACTCGATGCATTATTATAATGATAATTTTGAAAGATAAGTACAATAAAATGACAAACCGGCATGTAAATTGAAGTGAGGTAATTTTGGTACTTGGATGTATTTAGATCACATTCCGTACCTATGATGTTAATTATATTTTGAAATTGCCTTCTATCCTGTAAAATTGTACTTTTGAGTAGACTGAAAAAAATGTTTAATTTTGTGTGTAAAGTTAAATTTTGTTCGGCTCGACTGACCATAATTACGAACTCAGCTCAGCAATACTTAGTTTACCAGTGTGTGTTTGCATAGTACCGTTTTTCTAACTGTCTGCGATCGCCTCGTCATGAGCTCCTCTTTCGAATATAGAATCCACCACATTTTAGTCCGAGT